AGGACGGAAGAATCCCAGGCACTGCTATAGGCTGGGGACCAACTGGCCAAGTGGCAGTTCTGCAGAAAAGGACCTAGGGGTTACAGTGGATGAGAAGCTGGATATGAGTCAACAGTGTGCCCTTGTTGCCAGAAGGCTAATGGCATATTGGGCTGCATTAGTAGGAGCATTGCCAGCAGATTGAGGGAAATGATTATTCCCCTCTATTCGGCACTGGTGAGGCCACATCTGGAGTATTGAGTCCAGTTTTGGGCCCCTCACTACAGAAAGGATGTGGACAAATGGGAGAGAGTCCAGCGGAGCGCAACGAAAATGATTAGGGGGCTGGGGCACATGACTTATGAGGAGAGGCTGAGGGAACTGGGCTTATTTAGTCTGCAGAAGAGAAGAGTGAGAGGGGTATTTGATAGCAACCTTCAACTGCCTGAAGGGGGGTTCCACAGAGGATGGAGCTAGGCTGTTCTCAGTGGTGGCAGATGACAGAACAAGGAGCAATGGTCTCAAGTTGCAGTGGGGGAGGTCTAGGTTGGATATTAGGAAAAACTATTTCACTAGGAGGGTGGTGAAGCGCTGGAATGGGTTACCTAGGGAGATAGTGGAATCTCCATCCTTAGGGGTTTTTAAGGCCCAGCTTGACAAAGCCCTGGCTGGGATGATTTAGTTGGGATTGGTCCTGCTTTGACCAGGGGGTTGGAATGGATGACCTCCTGAGGCCTCTTCCAACCCTAATCTTCTATGATTCTACGAATGGACACCATGACACTGGTGGAGAATTCAGGCATCCCCTCTGTAGGTGTCCCTGCTAGCCACAGGATGGACTCTTTTGGGCTTTCTGATCTGTCTGCCTTCTAAGTAAGGCTTCTCTCCCCCCTCCTAGTGGGGGCACTCCCTTTTCAGGTGTCCTTGTCTCCCACACGCATAACACTGCTTTGGCCAGGCTTCTGGCCCTGGTACCTCCCTTCCTATCCTGCTGCCTCGGGCCTCTGCTAGCTTCTTCCCACAAGAACTTAACTAGAGCCAGTTGCTGTTTGGCCAGCTGGGCCAGATAATTCTGAATGTACCAATGTGCCTCCCACTGTCTCTGCTGGTTCTCCAGCACCTGCTGCAGCAGGCCCTGGATCCATCCCTGCTGTTTGTCACCCCCTTTCCACTAGGGAGGTGACTCTGGAGACCAGCGTGGGAGGGTATAAGTGCAAAAAAGTCTTCTGCATACTGTGGCTCTATTGTCTTTCCCTTTTTCCATTATGGCTCTCCAGGTTCCCCTTGTTTCGTGGTGATCGCGTGTCCATGTTCTCCACCGATGCCACAGAGTCCACTCACCAGAAGGGGCACACTCAGTGGATTATAAGCTTTGTAATGATACCTTACAAGATACTGTTTGCATGAAGCATATTTCAGTTACATTATATTTAAACTCATTAGCATATTTTCATAAAATCATATAGAATGCAACGTCCCAGGCACCTCCTCCTGTCCACTCTCGGGAATCTGTTCTTTCCAGGTCCGAGGTTCTCTTGTGCTACTTGCTGCATGCTCAGTTGCTTCTCTCTCTCACTCGCAGTTTAGAACTCAGGGTGCTCCTTCTTCATGACTGGCCCTCTGGCCAGGTCACTATATGTGTGGTACTTCAGAAGGGGGTCTAAAGTTCTCTCCTGACAAATGGGCTCAGGCAGTCTTCCCGGTTTCCCTACCAGCTGCTGAGGAAGTGACCCTGTCTGGGCAGTGAACAGGAAGCCTGCCTGAGTCCATTTGTCAGGATAGTTCCCCTTCTGAGGTACCAGAGTGTAACACGTACAGTGACCTGGCTGGAGGGCCAAGGCACAAAGAAGGAGCACCCTGAGCGCCACACAGCGAGACAGAGGCAACAGAGCATGTGGCAAGCAGCAGAAGAAGGCCTTTGACCTGAAAAGAACCGCTTCCCCAGAATGCCCAGGAGGAAGTGCCACTAGTGGTGAGTGGACCCCGTGACAGGCCCCCAGTGCCCATGGGGAGTTAGGACCTAAATATGTTTGAAGATCTCTGCCCTTGTCCATTCTTTAAACTTTTTAAAAACTCTCTATTTATCTGCAACCATATCTATTTATCTGAAAAGGATCAATTTATTGGTAATACAAGCTAGTAACCGCCACAGGACTATATATTCATGTTGATTCCTGCATCTTTGCTGGATTCTTCTGTTGTATCTTCTGCTAGCAAATTCATGTCTTTTCACTCATACCAACTATTTTCACACCAAATACCATGGTGAGAGGTGTCCTATGGAGCAGACACACATTGTTCTGTATTATTAGGCCTGATCTACACTACGACTTTAATTCGGATTTAGCTGCGTTAATCCGAATTAATCCTTAACCCGTCCACACAACGGAGCCAGTTACTTCGAATTAAAGGGCACTTAAAATCGATTTCTGTACTCCACCCCGACGAGCGGAGTAGCACCAAAATCGATTTTGTTAATTCGAATTAGGGGAGGTGTGGCCGCACACCACCGAATTAATGTGGTTAAAATTAATGGGGTAGTGTGGCCGCACACCACCGAATTAATGTGGTTAAAAACCGAATTAATGTGCTTAGTGTGGCCGCGCACAATCGAATTTATACAATCTGTTTCCCAAATTTGAATTATCTAAATTCGAATTAATCTCGTAGTGTAGACGTACCCTTAGAGAGACAAGGTGGGTAAGGTGACATCATTTATTTCACCAACTTCTGTTGGTGAGAGAGACAAGCTTTTGAGCTTACACAGAGCTCTTAGACTGCGATAGCTGATATCAAAGCCAACCATGTGGTTTGCCCCATGACTTCCTGGAGAAAGGCAAAGAACATTTTATTCACAAAGGTAATGCACAGGCAATCAAATATGTTAAACAAACGCACAGCTGCAGATAACAGAGACAGGATTACACTGCTGGAATTCTTGGCTCCCAGCCCCATGCTTAAATTAGCTGACCAGACTGCCTGCCCGCCCATTTGATAGCATTCTGCTATGAGGACAGTTGTACCTTACTGGTGAATTATAAATACATTACACAGACGAAGCCAAATATATTCTGTTTCTGACTGTGAAACAAGTACTGATGTAGGACGGGGGGGGGGGGGGGAATAATTCACAGACTTTGACATCGGACTGCTCCTCATGCTTCTTATGAGACAACCCTTGTTGCTTTTTAGTGGAATGGTACCTGCCAACAAAAGTCTCCAAAATATATTTTTTCAAAATCCCTAATTATGATTGCTAACATAGTTAACAAAAAGCATCTACTAAACTGCACAAATATAGGAATGTGCAATTGTGATTTTAAACAATGCACATTGTATGATGTGTGTCATTTATGGGACCCTCTCCTGCAAAATCTTTCAGCCCAGTGGGTTCTATGCAGGCGCAGAGTTCTATCCATGCAGAGCAACTCACAAAAATAAAATCTTACCAAAATGTTTATGCAAAACCTGTCCACAGAAGGATGCACCAGTCTTCCAGTAAACAACATTTAGGATTGGCAGATCTTTGTATTTTTCATTTTTTTTATCAGTTTAAATTTTCAGTTGTGGGAAATCATGGGGCAAGGCAGACAATTTATAATGACAGTAGACATTTAGATTAAAAATGTTAAAGCTTTATAACTGTTAAAATACCATTTGTCAACCTAACATCAAAATATACAAAGCAAACATCCTTAAACCAAACTCTAATAAATTCTTAAGCAGCATTTTTTCTCTGCCTAGCTGTAAATTTTAATTGTTGATGAAAATATTTTCATCAGTTTGTGTGTGCACAGTGAAATTGATGTTTACTGACATTTACCAATAAAAATCTAATCGTTCCAAACCTAATATTGCATTGTATAGGACATATAGCTGAAATGAGTCAGCTTTAACAATCTAATCTATGGGGAGATTTGGGGTATTGCTTTGATAATAAAAAGCATTGCAGCTTTGTTCTCTGTTTTTGTATAGGTCTGCAATACTTACATACAAAAATCATTTTAAATGTTGCCATGTCTGTAGCAAAATGACCAAATGGCAGACAATTCTTGTCTTACTCACTTTTTTGTTGTTGTTGTGGCAGCAATGAAAGAACAAATCGAGTCTGGAGAATCATTTGAAGACTGCATGATTTTCATGGGAAGTTGGAGAGATGTGCTATGTGCATATTTCACAGAGCTCACCGGTATGTGCTGTGTGTGCATGTCACATCATGTAATAAACTGGCAAATGTGTATTGGAGCCCACAGAAGTGGTTGGTCCATTAATGGCTAAGGGCTTCTTACTACTAGCTAGCTGAGGTGCTCCATTAGTGCCAGAGGACAAGGCTCCTGCTTTTAGTGTTGAAGGTCTTAGGTTCAAATGCTGGAGATAAACCAAGCAGGTGGGTTATTACACCCAGATGCTGCATGGCTCTATATAAATTGTGCAATTAACAATTAAATGTAATAAAAATGAACTTCACTCAATCTTTTAGCAAAAGCTTTATATGTTAATACAAACTCAATATGGTATATCCACCGATTTTTTCTCTTTACTAAACTACCTGAAAGTAGGTGAACAAATTTTACAAAACTGTGGTTAGATCATTTTTAACTAAGGTTCATCAAGGATTAAAACAGTTTTTTCTTACTCCTGTCCATTTCTACTGTTGCCCTTTTGAGGTGTTGCTGCTAAGAAAAGTTGGAATGAAAGTGAAAACTACTATGCTGTCATTTAAATAATGTTTGCTATTGAGATGTTTAATTCAGACATATAAGTGGAATTTGAGGCACATTCATTAGTGTTTTTTCGCACAGACAATTTGAAGTCTTCCCATTTGTAACAATTACTGTATTTTTACTAGGAGTCACCCCTCAGTTCAAAGTCAGAACTGATTAAAAGAAGAAAGGCTAATGAGATCATGAAACTCCAATCGGGTTGTGCACCAGCTGATCTGGAAGTAGTATAAATATTTGCCAGTTTTTAGGATTGAATATATCAGCCTTGTTAATTCAGGTGGCAGCAAGGAGTGTGTATGTGTGTCAGGAGAAACAGAGAAGAGAAGGTAAATATTATGCTGTAAGATAATGCTACTGAAGTCTTTGGTAGTAAATTTGTGACCGACTGGAGTATTTTATATGATTGAGTGAAGATGCAGTGGAACTATTTTTCCATCACTGCCCTCTGGTAATTAGTGGAGGGGCATGGAATCTGTTCCTGAATTTACTGTATTTTATTTTTGTGACCATTCAGCAAAGTGTTGTTAAGGAGCTGACTAATGAAAATAAATGTAATTTAAGCCATCACGGTGTTTACAGTATCAGCAGCATGGTGAGGCTTTTAATTTGTAATTGAGTCAGCACTCCGCTTTGGTCAGTGTCTGAGCCACACTAGCATTTCTCACCTCTACTGTCTGCTTGTCTGTATCAGCACTTTTTGTATAGTTCCTGCTGTGGTAGCAGGGTTCATAGAGAAACAGATGTTTCTATAAGTGCAGCTGCCGCACCTAGTTGGCCTGCAGCATGCCTATCTATACAACAATGCTGGAATTTGAGATTTCCAGGAAGGTTTTATAACTCTTCTCCTCCTACATATGGGTGACCATTTTCGAGTAGCCTTTTTGCAGTGTCCATAAAACTGAAATCTTCCTTAGATCTTGCAGTGCAACCTGAAGGGTAAAAGGAAGTTGTATAAATCTTTTAAAAGTTGAAAAAATAATAAAATTGGCAAGGTGGCTGATTGCTATAACAAAGTAGGAAAGAGAGAATCTTCAAGGTGATTGCAGCCCTGCTGGGTGAGAGCATATCATTGTTTTGTTTTCCAGCGTAAGTGCTAGGTTTGGTTTGTCATGTGACTCAAGTATTTTATCATATGGTGCTATCCTATGGACACATCTATTTCTAAAAACAAAGTACAAAAACAAAACAATCGTTTTTCAGTGTGATTTAGCAGGGAGATCAGCAGATTCATTTGACCAAACCAAAAATGTAAGCTCAAGGGGAACATTTTCTGAGGCCCCAAGGATGAAGGGTTCTCTGGAGATTGCATATTGGTATGTTTCTGTTCCTAAAGTGCAATGGGTCACAATGGGAAGCAAAATGATAAACTCCCCAAGTCTGGCTCTTGCACCAATAGACAAAGTTGGTCAAACTTCTTCTACCTCCCACCCCATCTTCTTGCTGCTCAATCTGTCGTTTCCCAGCGTGGCAACTTTGATCTGAGTTTCAAGAGAAATGAGAGAGTTCTCAGATTTTTTTCTCCATATGCACCTCTAGTCTATTAGAAGTAGTGTAGATCATGGATTGCTATGGACCTTGTCAGATGTGATATTACTAAATTACTTATGCTATTCAAAGGGGCAGGGAGAATGTGAGTATAGAAGAATTGCAACAATTCCTGCTCAGAAAGTCCTTCTTTTGCAATATATTCTAATCTGATACTTTTCCTGAAATATTCAATAGTGAAACTGAATTTTGTCTTGCTGATACAAAAAATATGATTCTTATTAATAACAATGATCTGCATTTTTTAATTTACATTTTATTGAATTTTTTTTTTTTTTTTTAAAAAGGGGAGAACAAACAAACCACCAACAACAAAAGTAAAGGAATGGAAAGGAAGGGGGGAGGAAGGAGAGTATTCTGCATCTCTGCAGACAGCTAAAAGTGCTGATGGAGAGAGCTTGGAGTCCTACAAAGTTGGTCAAAGGCCCAAACTGCAATGGTGCCCATGGGAAGTAATTTGCAGCTGTCATTTGCTGAGCAGAGCTAAGCCAGCAGGCAGTCAATGTCAGGCCAAACACATTGTAAACAAACTGGGAGGGGACAAATTATTTTTCTCAAAAATACTGGAATTTTACAAAGTTTCAAGAAGCCATACAGGAGATGCCTTTTTTTCCTCATTGGATGATAAGGTACATGACTCGTAACCTGGTTGGACATTTCAACTCTTTGCCAGAAGCATGGGTCACTTTCTGATTGGCACATAGCAGCATTGCCAATAAAAGGAACCAGGTCACACTGCCCAGCAGAAAAGATATAAAATGCTCTGTGTTGTTCAACTTGTTGCTCCCTGAAGCTGAAACATCTGGATGAGAGAGTGTGCGTGGCCAGTCAGAGCACCACCTGCCTGGTAACAAGTGAAATCTTGTCAAGTGTCCTAATAAACTTAAAAACAACGAGGAGTCCTTGTGGCACCTTAGAGACTAACACATTTATTTGGGCATAAGCTTTTGTGGGCTACAGCCCACTTCATCAGATGTGTGATTTCGTGGGTTATAGCCCATGAAAGCTTATGCCCAAATACATTTGTTAGTGTCTACGGTGCCACAAGGACTCCTCGTTGTTTTTACTGATCCAGACTAACACGGCAACCCCTCAGAAACCTAATAAACTTGCCTTTTAAAGTCCTTTCTAAGGAGACAGCAGCAAAATCTGTAACAAGAATAGGACCACAGCTGTTACAATACCTTGAGTGAATCACCTGAATTTCCTATCTCAGGAAAACAATCTGTGAATCTGAGCTGGAGAAATCACCTCTATGCCAGTTCCAATGGATAAGTACCTGAATTTTATACATGTATTGCTTACTCCTGTGATGGCTTGATTATGTTAAGCTAAATGCTTCTCAGAAAGAACTTACCTGAGTTAAAACCCTCTGAAGAACTCAAATGTATGATGTGAACCTTTATTTTACTAACAAGTTTACTCTCAGTTGTCTAGAAATTACACTAAATCAATAAGTAATTGAGAGCAAGCATTGAGGCTAATGAAAACTAAGTCTAATAACGTTTGTAAGAGGAAACTGTTCTTCCCGACACCAAACATTACTGTGAGATCCTTACCCCTTAGTGTTTCAAAGGATTCAGCCTAAAAAAAAATCACAGATTTTGTTTCAAAAGAATTGATCGCTCCTCAGACAAAAAGAGGAAGATGTGTTTTAGTGGCTTCTAACCTAAAGATTTTACCGCTGTGTAAATCTTCAATTAAAGTGGCATGAGAGTTGAGCTTAAATTTCAGAAAAATTAGAATCGCTTCAGAATTATTACATTATAGACGCATAGACTTTAAGGTCAGAAGGGACCTTTATGATCATCTAGTCTGACCTCCTGCAGAACGCAGGCCACAGAATCTCACCCACCCACTCCTGTAACAACCCCCTAACCTATGTCTGAGTTATTGAAGTCCTCAACTCGTGGTTTAAAGGCCTCAAGGTGCAGAGAATCCTCCAGCAAGTGACCTGTGCCCCACGCTGCAGAGGAAGGCGAAAACCCCCCAGGGCCTCTGCCAATCTGTCCTGGAGGAAAATTCCTTCCCGACCCCAAATATGGTGATCAGCTAAACCCTGAGCATGTGGGCAAGACTCACCAGCCAGACACCCAGGAAAGAATTCTCTGTAGTAACTCAGATCCCACCCATCTAACATCCCATCACAGGCCATTGGGCATATTTACCACTAATAATCAAAAATCAATTAATTGCCAAAATAAGGCTATCCGATCATCCCATCCCCTCCATAAACTTATCAAGCTTAGTATTGAAGCCAGATATGTCTTTTGTCCCCACTACTCCCCTTGGAAGGCTGTTCCAGAACTTCACTCCTCTAATGGTTAGAAACCTTCGTCTAATTTCAAGTCTAAACTTCCTAATGTCCAGTTTATATCCATTTGTTCTTGTGTCCACATTGGTACTGAGCTTAAATAATTCCTCTCCCTCCCTGATATTCATCCCTCTGATATATTTATAAAGGGCAAAATGTTTTGGATTTAATTTGTGCTAGTCTTGTGTAAGTGACAAAGGTTGGCAATGAGTATTACCTGAGCAGGGCACTTCTGAACAGTACTGACATTCTTTAAGAATGAAGTTGCTTTGTTTAAATCTCCAAATTCTACCATAGAATTGTTTGGTTGAACTCATGTGAGCAATCCCATAATTTCATTGGCATATTAACTTGATTGAACTAAATAAGGGACTATGTTTAAGGATCTATAGCTCCATGCTGGTAGCAAAACCACTGAATCACATTATTATAGAAGTAGGATAAAAGCTGCCTTTGTAATAAGATTTTGATAAGACCTTGAATAAATTGTAACCGATTAGTTATCGCTTGAAAATTGTAACAATCCCATGCTGAGATCAATTTCTGAAGTTGTGAACATCTTTATTTTGCCTGTTCGCTTTAAAAGCAATTTTAGCTGATAAACTCATAAGGTTATAATAATTCTCCAGTCTTTGTTTTTAACTAAGGAACACAGATCCAAAAAACAGTAAAACTTAGGAGCAGTAACTAGTTAATTACTTTACTTTATTTAACCAATGTATGTCTTGCCTTTCTCACACTTTGGACATGCAATTACCTCTATTGAGGCTATTGTGTTGTCTATTGGCTCTGTATCACATACCTGCTGTTCTTTGTTAGCCGTGTCCCACAAAAAAGACATCTATTATTGGGAAGCTTGAGGGGGAGAGATCTGGGTATTAGGTACACTTTATTTGATAAAATAACTACTTGGAGATTTCTTAACTTGTTCCATCTCAGACACACATGCTGAAATCCTCTACAGGCTTTCTTTTACTCCTTCCCATCTCCATCCATGTCCTGAACTCCTCTCTCTTTCCCCCTCTTCCACCTCTGTTGGAAGGGCTGTAGACAACATGCTTCACTGGTACATGTGGTAACAATGCTACTGAGCTATGTCACAAATCTTATGAAATATAGCAGATGAGGACAAAGCTATCAAAGAAAACTTGAGGAAAAAACAAAATTCCTTTCCTTCCATTCTATTTTGCTGAATTTGTTAAAGGACAAGAGGAAGAAATGTATTAAATAGGGAAATATGAGCGATAGAGAGAATCAGTGACAGAAATAATATGTGAACAAATTCCAAACACAAAATTAATTTGAATGCAGCCTGGTTTCTCTGGATGTTCACATAGCCCTTAGAAAGCAGTGGGCTCTGGTGAGCTCCTTGAATAGCTCTGATGTTTAGTGCCCATTTACATGGATTCTGTACAGTTAGATAATTCTTTTTAAAAAAAGTTTGTGTATAACAATACTAGATACCTTGTACCAGTAAATAACCCGGAGAAAACATCACACACCACTTTTTCCTGGGAACAATATTCTGGTCTCATACCAGTCCCTAAACATGCCATTTTTATGCTATGATTCAATTGGATCTTTTTGTTGTTCATTTTGCTATCAGATAGGGAACTGTTTTATGTTGTAGTGAAATTTTTTTTCACAAAAGATGACCGCAAAACAAAGGATATTAAAATTATGTTCTTTTATCTGCAGATTCTTGACATATAAGAGAAACCTTACCAATGGAGCCATCGGAAGAATTTATGTTCAAACATAAAGGATTTTATTTCCTACCAGACTTGGCTAACCCTGAATATATAGATTCATTGGAGCATTTTGTAATCCGAGACAGTGATGTGTTTGTAGTTACTTTTCCAAAATCAGGTAAGACTGTTATGATTTTCCTAAAGGGAAATAAGCAATCTGACTTTTGTCTGAAACCTTTATTGACCCCCTTCTTACTGAGCACCATTGTGACCTATGTTTGGTGGTAACATTTGTCAGAGCTTTTTTTAACTAACTCAAACTGTTTCATCCAACAAAGATGAGTTTTATATAAAGAAAAGTTGATCACAGAACTAAAACTTAGTGGTAACATCGGTACAAGTGATCATGACTTGATCACATTTGTTAGGTGCAAACAGAATAAGGTCCAAACCAATAATATATATACTTGGTGCTTCAAAAAAGCCAGTTTCACAAAGCTGAAAATAATTATGAGCCAAATCAGCTGGGAGAAAGAATGTAATTAGAAAAAATGTGAATGATAATTGAGAATTGTTTAAGAACATTTTACTATATGTCCAAAAAGCCACAATAGAGAAGATTAAAAGACATGGTTAAAAGCCAACCTGGTGCTCAGGGGAAGTAAAGGCAGCTATAAAATATATATAAAATAAATGGAAGAAAATGGAAATTGATACTAATGAATATCAATCAGAAGTTAGGAATTGCTGAAAATTGATTAGGGAAGCAAAAGGACACCAGGAGAAGTTTGAGGCCAGCAGAGTTAAGGACAATAAAGTATATTATGAACTAAAAGAATGCTAGCAATGGTATTGGTCTATTACTATAGGGAAAGGGTAGGATTGTCAAAAACAATGTAGCAAAGGCAGAAGTGTTCAATACGTAAGAATGGTCTGACCCAGTATTTCCAATCATCCATCTAATCAAGTATCCTGTCTGACAGTGGCCAGTGTCAGATGCTTCAGAGGGAATGAACAGAATAGGACAATTTTGAGTGATCCATCCATCCCCTGTCACCCAGTTCCAGCTTCCAGCAGTTAGGGATTTAGGGACACACAGGGTATGGGATTGTGTCCCCAATAGCCATTGATGGACCTATCCTCCATGAATTTATCTAATTATTTTCTGAACTCAGTTATACTCTTGGCCTTCACAACATTCCCTGGCATTGAATTGCACAGGTTGACTGTGCATTGTATGAAGTACTTCCTTTTGTTTGTTTTAACCTGCTGACAATTAATTTCATCGGGTGACTCCTAGTTCTTCTGTTATGTGAAGGGGTAAATAACACTTACCTATTCACTTTCTCCATACCATTCATGACTTTATAGATCTGTATCAGACCCTCCCTCTGTCATCTCTTTTCTAAGCTGAACACCTGTGCTATTTACCTCTCTTCATTGTGAAAACTGACCATTTAGTCCTACCCTTTGTTTCCTATCTTTAACTGGTTACTGATCCATGAGAAGACCTTCCCTCTTATAGCATGACTGCTTATTTTACTTCAGAGTCTTTACTGTGGGATCTTGTCAAAAGTTTTCTGAAAGTCCAAGTATACTATATCGACTATAGATCACCTTTGTCCACATTTGGTGACCCCCCCCCTCAAAGAATTCAACTAGATTGGTGAGGCATGATTTCCCCTTTACAACAGCCATGTTGACTCTTCCACAACATATTTTGTTTATCTATATGTCTGATAATTTTGTTCTTTACTATAATTTCAACCAGTTTGCCTGGTACTGAAGTCAGGCTTACCAGCCTGTAATTGCCAGTATCACCTCTGGAGCCATTTTCTAAAAATGGATGTTACATTAGGTATCCTTCAGTCATCTGGTACAGAGGCTGATTTAAGCTTATAGTGTGTGTATATATACCATAC